TTAAATTCATAAGGGTCCTCTCTAACTGAAGTCTGTAATGAGTCTAGTACTTCTAAAGAAGGTACTTCCTCACCTGTGGTACATAACAACAATTGTCGTAATCTGTCTGATGCGTCACTATGTATCTCCTGTCCGTCATCGTCAATAACAGGTGATTGCACAAGTCGTCTAGCAAAATGAGCAGGTATCCATAAATAATAGATACGGTTACGCTGTTCGTCAGTCAAGTGATAACGATCTGTATAAGACTCGAAGATGTCCGCATTATAAAAGGCATCGACCTTTGAGTCATACGCTGGAATATCTTTTTAAAATATTAATTAATTGATCATGAATTTGTAACTTTAATTTAGCTGCACGGTCAAGTAGTTTTTCTTTCTAACTTCGGCTTCGTCATTTGCGTCATCATTTGCGTCATCTTCCCCCATTTCAGGAATGCAGGAAGCTTGAGGCTTTGACTTTTTAGAATCAGTCTTTTTACCACCTTTTGTTAATACAGCAACCTCTTTTCTGTCATTCTGCAGTCTTAACAAAAGATTTGTTTTAGAATCAATTTGCTCCTCAAGATTTTCTATGTAGTTACAAAGAATGTCACAATTTAGACAATTAAGAGGATCTTGAGACAAATTTTCATGCATTTCTGTGTTCCGTACAGTGCTACATTCTGTCTGCTTTAGTGTAGAAACACTTTTAGCAGGTAAGTCAATATTCAAAATCATTTTTGTTGAATATTCTTACCAACTTTAAGATATTAGATATCTTCTTATGCTTTTTGTTTACAGTAAATCTAGATTTATCTATCTGAACATTGGCCTGTAAACATTCCTTGTACATGTACTGCCATAATTTACCATCATCAGGATATAAAGAAACATCCTTAAACTCTAACTTGCTTTCTATAGCTAGTTTATCAATAAATTCCATAACTTTTACTCACCGTAATCAGATGATTTTTCTTTTTGCAGCCGGTGGCTCAGTCACTGGACCTCTCGTCCACGTCTGACGAAACACAAACGCCTTCACTTCTAGGTTCTTTGCACCGTGTTTTTTCCCAAAACTTGATCAGTCTGTGCTTTCCCACTTTATCAAGGAAGGAAAAACCGGAAAAAAAAACTGTGGCGGAGGCTGGCTTAGCCAAATGTTAAATATCGTGACACTTATATTATTTAAGTGTCTGTCTTTAGCGTTTGAGGCAAAGTGTTCTAGTGCCAGGCTGATTTAAAACAGTGTGACTTTTATTTAATTCACACTTGGCATCAAAAATGAAAATACAAAAGATAAAATAAAATACAGAGTAAAATATAACAAAAGTTGTAGATTATGGAAAAAGAAATAAGCTTTGGAAAAATGTCTAATCTCTTGCCTGTTCTATGACAAGTGTTTCAGTCTTGGCAAGGAAGACAACAGGTGTATCAAGGCTTTGCAGGCCTTAAATATGTCAGTGCGTGTCAGCTGTATAATGTCTTGATGTATGAGTGTGAGTGAGTGTATGTGACTCTCTATCTCTAAGGCACATCTATATATATTTTTACCAGACCAACCCACTAAACAGTTATTTCCTAATTCAGGGTTAGCTAAATAAGTAAAACCCTTATTTGTACTTCTTCTAAACTTATACTCTTAGTGTCCATATATGTAAACCTTCTAAACTTATATTCTTAGTGTGACGTTATCTGCAAACCTCTTAGACGACAGAAATACATGATACTGTAATATAATATACAATGGCCTTCACATATCTTTAGCAAGGGACAATGTTCACATAAATGCATATATCCAACAATAATTGATACTAAACTTATCACACACTATTCCTAACTAATAAATTGATTATAAATAAGCATCCAACTAACTATATTATAGATTAGACATGATTTTCTTTATAAAAGACATATCCTTTCTTTGTTCTACTACATATCAATATCTTTTTGACATTCCAGTTTCTATTCTTAAGAGAAGCTTATGACCTGCTGACCTCTTAGACATGAATATACCATGGTTCATCTTTAACACCTGTTTTCCAAAGCTTCATACACACGCTAAGTTAAAATTACTTCTCAATGACTTTGCTGTCATTTTGAAAGATATGAAAGATACAGACGTCTGTTTTATGATGAATTAATTTCTACAGGGTACATTCACTTCTCTCGGAACAGCCTCCACACTTCCCTTCCTCAGCCCAGGAAAAACAGCAGGGAAACCACTTCTCCTTCTTACCTCAGTGTCCATTCACCTCATTAAGCCATCTCCATTTGTCAGAACTACACCTCCCACAAGCCTTGAAGTCCATATCCTGAGTGCCTTCCTATTGGGCAGAGGGCAAGTTCAACACTGTCTGTACCAGGGGCGGACTGACCATTTGGAAAACACGAGCACCGCCCGAGGGCCCAGGGTCAGTAGGGGGCCCCATGAGATGCCCCTGGTACCTTTTTCATAGGCTTTTTTGAGTTTGGGCAAGGGCACAGGTGCCCCATAATCCCCTATTGCCCAGGGGCCCCATGAGTTGTCAGTCCGACCCTGGTCTGTACACAGCACTACAATAAGAGTCTCCTCCTGTAATTATGCCTGCGTAAAGATCTCCAATGCTGATAGATAGATAGATAGATAGATAGATAGATAGATAGATAGATAGAGCAGTATAGGGCAGTACTATGGTCATTGGTTTGAATCCCAACCACGGCACCACCTGCCAGGAGTTTGCATGTTCTGCGTGGGTTTCCTCCGAGTACTCCAGTTTCCTCTCACATGCCAAAGACAGCTGTTAGGTTAATTGGATCCTGTTTAAATTGGCCCTAGTGTGTGTAGGAATGAATGTAAGTTAAGGACCTCAGATTGTACACTCCTTGAGGGTTAGGAACTGATGTGAATGTACATTACATTACATTACATTACATTGAGTTTATATAGCGCCAAAGGGTTTGCTCAGCGCTGTACAATAGAGGGGGGGACAATACATGAAACATTACAGCAACTACAAACAGCACACGAGGGGTTATAGGGCCCTACTCTTTCGAGCTTACAATCTAGGAGGGAGGGGGTAGTGGTACAGGAGGAAGTGGCTGTGGGGGATGGAGTGGTAGGAGGAATGAAGGAGAGCAGCAGTTATGTGAGGGTGGGGTAGTCTTCCCTGAAGAGGTGGGTTTTTCAGGGAGCGCCTGAAGGTGAGGAGGGAAGGTGACAGTCTGATGGATTGGGGTAGTGAGTTCCAGAGGATGGGGGAGGACCTGGAGAAGTCTTGCAGACGTGCGTGTGAGGAGGAGACCAGGGAGCAAGATAGAAGGAGGTCCTGTGAAGAGCGAAGGGTACGGGTAGGGTGGTACTTGGGAATCAGGTCGGTGAGGTAGTTAGGGGCAGTGTTGTGAATGGCTTTGTAGGTCAGAGTGAGTAGTTTGAATTTGATGCGTTGGGCGATAGGGAGCCAGTGGAGGGAGAGGCAGAGGGGGGTGGCAGAGGCGGAGCGGGTGGTGAGGTGGATGAGTCTAGCCGCTGAGTTGAGGATGGTCTGAAGCGGGGAGAGCCTGCACTGGGGTAGGCCGGTGAGGAGGGAGTTTGCAGTAGTCAAGGCGTGAGATAATCAGGGAGTGCACAAGTAGTTTAGTGGTGTCTGGGGTAAGGAAGGAGCGTATTTTGGCGATATTGCGGAGGTGGAGTCTGCATGTGTTTGTAAGTGATTTGACATGAGGTTGGAAGGAGAGGTTAGAGTCCAGAATGACTCCAAGGACTTTGGCTTGCGGGGCGGGATTGATGGTGGTGATGTTAGTAGTGATGGATAGGATGGGGGGGGGGGCGCGGGCAGGAGGGAAGACGAGAAGCTCGGTTTTGGAGAGGTTGAGTACAATATATATGTAAAGAGCTGTGTAAATTGACGGCGCTATACAAGTACCTGAAATAAATAGATAGATAGATAGATACTCTGTATATATATATATATATATATATATATATATATATATATATATATTTGATAACCAGAAGATTATTGTACAGAATACTTTTACTGACCTAAAGTCTAAATGACCTCTGCTCTCTATTTCATTTCAGGATACGGAGAGAGCTGTGGTCCACCTCCAGCCATCCTGTATGGAGATACCGTTGATACAAAAAAGCCTAGCTATCAACCTGGCTCTAGTGTGAAGTTTAAATGTGCAAGTTTTTATGTTCTTGAAGGGAATGAACTTATTACATGTAAAGATGGAGAATGGGGAAAAGAACCAACTTGCAGAGGTAAATTGATTTCAGTTTCAATTTCAGTTATCATACAGCTCTGGTGGATTTACTTTTCCTGGGGCTAAAACGGTTGTAAAGGCTAAAGGTTTTTTTTACCTTCATGTATGCTGCTCCCCCCACAGCTCCCCCAACACTCACCTGAATCCCCTCTCGATTCAACAAAGTGCACAGGAGCCTCGGCTGTCCTGGGTTTCTCTCTCCTCACTGGCTGAGACAGCAGTGGGAGCCAGGACTTTTTCGTTTAAGTCATTAGGCATAGTAGCTGGCTGAGAGCTTGAACAGGAGGCTGCTGCAGATATGTACACTGAGGGGTTCATTTACCAAATTCAAATAGATTGTGCACTTTGCAAAGTGCAGTTGTGCTAAAGCTTAGTAAATGAGGTAAAGCTTCAATTTGCAAAGAATACCCAATCACATGCAAGGAAAATTTAAAAAAATTGCATTTTTGCTTGTGCATGATTGAATGATGGAAGCCAGCAGAGTTTTTGCTCATTTACTAAGCTCTGGAGCAACTGCTCATGCAAAGTGCACAGTCTATGTGCCGTCTATAAATCAACCCCATAGTTTGGTGCAAATGAATGGCTATAAGATAAACTTTAGACCTCATTTAAATGGATGTACCAATCCATACACATAGTTACATAGTTAGTCTGGTTGACAAAAAGACAAAAGTCCATCCATACACAAGTGAAGAGCCATCTTCACCCACACAGGATGCATAGGAGTTCCATGCCGCTGGTCTTAATTTGACAGCCTTGCTGGTGTGTGTCCTCTGCCTAACAGTGCCAGTCAGTGCTACTTATCAGTGCTGCCTATCAGTGCCAGTCAGTGCTGCCTATCAGTGCCATATATGAGTGCTGCCTTTCACTGCCCATCAGTGATGCCTGTCAATGCCCATCAGTGCCACCTACCAGTGCCTCCTCATCAGTGCCCATCAGTGCCACCTATCAGTACACATCCAGTGCAGCTTATCAGTGCCCATCACTGCAGCCTTATTAGCACACATCAGTGAAGGAGAAAAATCACTTATTTACAAAATTTTATAACAGAAACTAAGAAAAAAAGTTTTTTTTTCAAAATTTTCAGTTGTTTTTGGTTTGTTTCGCAAAAAATAAAAAACCCAGAGGTGATTAAATACCACCAAAAAAAAAGCTCTATCTCAAAAAATGATAACAATTTAATATGGGTTCAGTGTTGCATGACCGCGCAAATGTCATTCAAAGTGCGACAGCGCTGAAATCTGAAAATTGGCCTGGGCAGGAAGGGGATGAAAGTGCCCTGTAGGCAAAGGGGTTAAACACACACACAGGAATATTTTATTTAATTATCTTTTTTACTTATTTGCAGCGCCTTGTACTATTACCACCTCTACTATGCTAGAAAACAACATTCAATTGAAGTATAAGCCTGACGGGGATAAAACAAGGAAATTATATGTTTCACATTTGGATTATGTGTCATTTGAGTGTGCTCCAGGATATAATATAGATGATACAAAACATCTGAGATTTCAATGCTTGGACGGGGTAAAAACATACCCAAAATGCCTAAAGTAGGTAAGTAACAGGATACCCAATAATGCACCTTCTCCACCTACAATCATACAAAAAATATTAGATGTGTTATATAATCTGTCAGCTAAATTATAGAGAGTGAGATCTATAGCTGCGTATGTGTGTGTGTGTGCGCATACTAACATTCGGGGGGGGTTTTCAGCGGGACTATGGGGGGAACACAGTTCTTGCACCTCCAGCACTGAATGTAATGGCAAGGGGTGCTGGGGTGTGCTGGAGGGTCGATGATGCTGGGAAATCTATGGGTGCTAATGGGGGAACTATTGTTGCTGGGGGGGGGTCTTATGTTGCTGGGTGGCATCTACTGTTAAGGGAGGGGTCTATGGTTGCTGGCTGATGAAGGGTTTGTTGCTGGGAGATCTATTGTTGCTTCTGAGGGTCTATTGTTGCTGGGACGGTATTTTGTTGCAGGGAGTCTGTTGTTGCTGGGGGGTCTATCATTGCTGCTGGCTGCAGGGGATCTAGTTTATTGTTTTTCTTGCTATCTTTGACAAATTCCATACAAACTACTTAGAACCACAAAATGATACCTGGTTCTGTATTTTTTAAAAGGGGTGGTACTGGGAAGTGGGTAAGGGGTGGAACAAAGGGGGTAGGGGGCGGAGACAAGGGTGACTCGGAAGGGGGTTCTACCTGCACCTATTTTCTGAGAAAAAAAGCCCTGCTAATAATCATTGGACAGTTTCAGCAAGACGTAACGATTATAGTAATCAATTTAAATTCTTTTTCACTTATTTTTTTACTGTAATATAACTGGATCAGAGGCGGACTGACAATTCATGGGGCCCCCCGGGCAATAGGGGATCATGGGGCCCCTGTGTCCTTGCCCAAACTCAAAAAAGCCTATGAAAAAGGTACCAGGGGCATTTCATGGGGCCCCCTACTGAGTCCGGGCCCTTGGGCAGTGCCCGTGTTTCCCAATGGTCAGTCCGCCCCTGAACTGGATACTAACATTTATAGGTAAAGTTGATCCAGGGAATATCCGATTGCCTCTCGGGGGATCAGAAAGAAATTTTTTCCCCTGCAGGAGCAAATTGGATCATGCTTTGCTGAGTTTTTTTGTCTTCCTCTGGATCAATATATAGGATTATAACTTTTTTTTTTTTTTAATGGTTGAACTGGATGGACTTTTGTCTTTTTTCAGTCAGACTAACTATGTACAGTAACTATGTAATTGGTAAACTTGCCACAAGAGAAATTTTGTGTACATACCATCTTCCTGCACCCCTCTTTCCCCTATCACTTTTAAATCATAATTATAATTTCTCCAAGATTTCCATTGTGTGGCCCTCTTAGCACTACAAGATCTAGGGCCAAAATCTTCATCAGTTTCTGAGATGGCCATCGAACTGCACAATGGCCAATGTCCACATCAAAGAAAAGCTCACCAGTCTATCAGGTTGAGGATGCGCTTTCAAATGAAATGAATTGCTTTGCAGTTTCCTGGGTACAACGTGACATTTTGGGGCTTTTTCAGTCCAGTTCCTGGTAGGTTGACTTTCCTGATCAGCAAATGTGTTCAGGTCATACTGAAGCCAGAAGATCAGCATATTAGCCAGGAATCTTTTTCTGAAGGAGGTCCACAATGGCAGACACTATTCATCAATCTCTTGGGAAACTTCCCTTGCAAGCTGAAGAACCTATTTGTCTTTTGTAAAGTAACCACTATATTCTCCGTCTTCCAGTTGCCCAGTGTCACCTAAATAGATTCTTCACCCTAGAAAGACAACAATAGAAGTCGGCAGCTACAAATACTGTAGCTGCTGACCAGGGGCGGACTGACAACTCATGGGGCCCCCGGGCAATAAGGGATCATGGGGCCCCTGTATCCTTGCCCACACTCAAAAAAAGCCTATAAAAGGTACCAGGGGCATTTCATGGGTCCCCCTACTGACCCCGGGCCCTCGGGCAGCGCCCGAGTTCTCGAATGGTCAGTACGCCCCTGCTGCTGACTTAAAAACCACTTGCCCTCCAGAGGATTTAGTAAAGAGGTAATTCTGGCGCACAGAGGTGAAGTAATATATAAGCAATATATGTAAATAAACCGATGTAGAAGATAGTAATGATATAAAGCACTGTAAATGAAAGTATAATGTTCATAAATACACAAAAAAAAAGTCCTTATAAGAGTCTCTCGGGCTATCGTCCCAAAGATTAGCACAAAGTAGCAACAGCCATCCTCGGAGCAAATCCAGCTCTGTATACAAGGACAAAAAGAGAGAAACAGAAGGTACCCATCTAAGTGCAGTGATTGAAACTGTATTTAATGGCAAAGGAATAAAAACACTCACAAGAGTAGTAAGAAAGCAAGCTCATCTGTGTATATAGGGTGACCGATCTTCAACGTCCTGCAGGCACCATCAATGTATATAGGGTGACCGCTCCTCAACGTCCTGCAGGCACCACCAGTGTATATTGGGGTGTGACCGCTCCTCAACGTCCTGCAGGCACCACCAGTGTATATTCGGTGACCGCTCCTCAACGTCCTGCAGGCACCACCGGTGTATATAGGGTGACTGCTCCTCAACGTCCTGCAGGCACCACCTGTCAGGGCCTGGACTTGAACCTGGGACTTCTACTGTGTCAGGCAGTAACTCTTCTCACTGAGCTACCTAGGATGCTGGACAACACTCTGCCTCTTCTATTGGATAATCCTGCCTTGTGCCTTGTTTGCTCTTGAACCTTGAACTCCTTGCTCCTCCCATGAACTTCCTATATAAGCCATGTCCTTGGACTTCCTCCTTGCCAGATTATTGTGCCTTTGCAGCCAATATCCCGCTACTGTTCCTGCTGCTGTCTACACCTCCGCTACTGATCTTTGGCTTGTTCCTGACCACGATTTCGTCTCATCCTAACATACTACGATTGATCTGCTACTATTTGTGACCGACCCTTGGCTTGTGACCGACTCTGCTTTCGTCTGATCCCTAACCTGTTGATCCGCTATTGGTTCCCAGTCTGCTCATTCCCTGGTGGGGTGATCCTGAGATCTGCGACCTGGTATTAACACACAGCCCAATCCATCTCCACCATTAGGAGCTCTGGTGAATACCGGTTAATACTTAGACCCCTGCACCTCAGGTGAGCCTGCGTCATTCCCACGGGGATCCGCTGGTGTACCTATCCTGCTGGTTCCAGATAAGCCTTTTACTGCTATAGCAACTGGTCTCTGAACCTGACCTTACACCGTGACACCACTGGTGTATATTAGGTGACCGGTCCTCAACATCCTGCAGGCACCACCGATGGCTGGGGGATGTGTGCTGGGCTGATGGAGATGTATGAAGGCACTGTAAGGGTCAATCCTGCAGAGTAATGGTGCTGTGAAGCCAATCCAGTGGCGTCTGTGCAGGAAGGGACTGTGCAACCAGTTTGAAGCGCAGCGGTAGAAGTGACGTCACCAGAAGAGGCAGAGGGCTGGTAGGATCAGAAGACATAGATGTAGGACAGGCAGGCTATGAGTACAAAGTCTCTAGCTCCTTCTGTTGGCCTGGTGGTGCTGGGGGCGGTTACAGCTTAAGTAGAGGACGCTGTCAGCGTTGAACAACACCGCTCAGCGGGTATTTAAAGTCACAGTGCCATAACAGGAAAGCATAACTGGTGTGAAATAATAATGGTCACAATATACCATATTTTTCGTCCCATAAGACGCACCTGACCATAAGACGCACCTAGGTTTTAGAAGAGGAAAACAAGAAAAAAAAAAATATTCTGAACCAATGGACTGCAGACATAGTACAGGAAATGACCAGAGACTGCGGACTTGGTACAGGAAATGACCAGAGACTACGGACCTTTGGGAAGCGGGTACCTGAATTTGACAGGTACCCGCTCCCACTTCCACCTAGGTGATCGGAAGCAGAAGTTGTCCTCCCCCCTCCCTCCCCATAATCTTCTGGGACACTTGACAGGTCCCAGAAGACTATGGGGCCATTCACAAAGCGCAGCACTTCTCGTGAATGCGCAGTGGGCACCCGGCTGTGAAGCCGCAAGCTGTCATAGCCGGGTGTACACACTAAAGATGCCGGCGCCAGGGATAGAAGACGGCTAGTGAAACCAGCGGTGGTGAGGACACCACTGGACCGAGGAACAGGTAACTGGTTGTATTTTAAAAGTCAGCAGCTACAGTTTTTGTAGCTGCTGACTTTTTTTTTTTCTTGGACTCCTCCTCTCTTCTGCCACAGAAGAGCCGAGTGGCCAGCCTGATATTCTAACATGGCGGCGGCGACGAGGGGAATACCAGGCCGGCCGCTCCATATTAGCTCCATAAGAATCACAGACATTTCCCCCCATTTTTGGGGGGGGAAAAGTGCATCTTATGGAACGAAAAATTTAGTAAGTGCACCAATGTTATGAGCAACAATGAAAAAGGAATTAATAAGGGATATATGTGCATAAGAGTGTAAATACATTGGTATTAACAATACAGAAGATATGTTAAACTAAGATGATGATAAATGATGAGAATGAAAATA